CCACTGCACTCCAGTCTGGGTAACAGAGTGAGACTCCAACTCAAAAAAAAAAAAAGATAGTATTAAAATAGATGGCAGAGCTGGGATTTGAATCTAGGCCTTTGTCTTTTTCCACTGTGTCATTTTTAGAAGAAGAAAAGCCCTATAAATACAAGTTAGCAAGTATTAGATGGAAGAAAGGAAAGATATAGGGCAGGGAGAAAGTTCAGACAGAGCAAGATCAAGAGGAACAGGAGTGGCAGCTATGTATCTGCTTCCAAGAGGACCCCACGAGGGAGAGCAATGGAGACAGTGGTGGATCCGAAGGCCACAGCTTCTGTCCAGTTGTCAGCATCAGTTAAGCAACTGCTGCTTTCAGGAAGGAGGTCTGGGCTCAGATTCCCACAGGCCTGGGTGCTGACTACCAATGTGTAATTACTGGATCCCCTTTCCTCGAGCCCTGTTTGGAGTTCCTCCATTTCACAGAAGGATCTTTGTCTGGGGGCTAGAGGCTGGGAACAGACCATGGGAGGCCAGGACTAGGCACAGGGGATGGGCACTTTGTCAACATCAGGGCTGCTTTGCTTGTCATTTATTGGGTACATCTGGGTGCCAGGCATGGAAGTGCCCTATGTGCAACAGCCTGAAGGCTGGCTCCCTCCCACTCCCCAGCAGGGCTTCCCACAACCCAGAGGCCCAGAGCTCACACCTGCACACAAGGGATCCCAAGCAGGCCACAGCCTCCTCTCCTCAGAGGTCAATGGTGACAGGGTCCTGAGAGACAGGGGCTTGTCAGGAACCCTGTCACAGAACGTGGGCCTCTTGCCACTTCCCAGCTTCTAGCTATCTTCTTTTCTGAGTTGCACTAAACCCCTGGCCAGCTGCCAGCAAAAACAATATTTGTTAATCTTTCAAGCACTCAGTGGTGCTCGTAAAGTTGATTGTATCTACCTTTGTCCGAGGACTTTCAGGAGGGTTTTGTGAAAATAAACTAGGCCACTGATTAGAATTTCCTGTTTCTCAGATGAGGACTCGGAGGGAGGTGGCAGAACAGCCTGGCCTCTCCTTTCCCAAGATGCATTTTGGGGAATATTGTCATTCAGACATTTTAGACCATCCTAGGGCAGAGGTTTTCATGATCGTGGGGGTGTGGGGTGTGAGGTACCTTTGGAGGGCCACTAAGCGGTGCCCTGGGCTGTGGCACTGGGCAAACACATGGCTGGCCTGAGCACAGTCTTTTTTATTTGCACATTGTTTAGCGGTTAGAGGACATGTAGGCGGTAAGATAGCACAGTGGATACCTGCTGAGGCTATAGACTGGCCTGGTGCTTTCTGCCAGTTACTCACTCATAACCTTGTTACTACTCTGGATCTCAGTTTTGCTATCTGTAGAAATGGAGACAATCACACCAAGCTCAAAGGCCAATGAGATGATGCTTAGGGTTACTCAGCCCGGTGCCTGGTATGTAGAAGGTGCTCCATTAGTGGAAGCTATTATGACTGGAATCTCAACAGCTGGCTAGGGCTCAAGGTCATCCTCTTGTGACTCAGCCAGTGGGGCTGGGGGATCCTCATATGCACACCTGGCCCCCTGCCCCCACCCCCCGCACAAGCATAAGCCCAGCCTGAGAGGGATTCATCAGGGAGGCCTGCTGAAGGTGGCTCCAGAGCCCTGGCACCAAAAGGGAAGTGGGGCTGGGCTTGTCTGGGCAGAGCAGAGCCTGCCCTTGGCCATGAAGTGGATTCTGTACCAGAGAGCATGAGTCCCAGTTTGAAACCGAAACTTGGAAAAAGACACACAAAAAACCCTAGACATGCACACAACGAAAAGCACATGGGTCCCTTCCCAGGGGCTACAGGGCCGGATACTTTCCCCCACCCCCAGCCTGAGAAGCAAGCAGGAGGGGGCAGGCAGGACGGCCTGTGGAGGCCAGGCCCTGTACCTGATTAAGTGAGGCCTTAGCTTGACTTCAAAACCTGTTTCACTTTGCAAAGTCTCCTGAAAAGGAAAACCCACAGACCATAGCCACAGGGCCAGTGGGTGAGCAGAGGATCAGGTCTGAGCTGTTGGCAGAAGGGCTCAGAGTACACTTTCCAGGGCCCTGGTTCTGGGTCCTCTGGGCTGGGAACTGCAGTGACAGTTCCTCACTGTCTGAGGGCCCCATCCAGGCTGGTGAATGGACTTAGTCAGGAAGAGGGGCAGAGGCCAGGCTCACTGGCTCTGACAAGGGGACTGAAGCCTGGAGGGCAGTTACCATGTGACCCTCCTCCTTTTCAACCAAGAGATCTCAGCAGACAGTGAAGGTACAGTGGTCCCCAGGAGTCCATGGAGGTGGCCAGGCACTGCCTGCCACAGGAGAGTATAGCTTTACTCCCTCTGGCCTAGTCCAGCCTGAAGGTGGAGGAGGCCCTTAGAGCATCCCTGGCTGGGTTCCCTCAAAATGACTCCCAATCACAACTCCCTTTCCAGACTCAGTGTCAGCTGCTCCCTTCCTACCCTCAACTCTGCCAGTAGCAACTCCGCTGAGTCCATCTGCCCTGAGCCTTTGCTCCAGTCCTGCCTCTCATGATTGCTTATCACCTTTGAGCCTTAGTTTCCTCATCTGTCAAATGTGGGCAATGACATCTACCTTTTAGTGTGGCTGTGAGGGTTAAATGAGGCATGCTTAGCCCAATACTGACACATAGTAGGTGATCAAGTAGACGGTGGTCACTATGATCAAATGGCTTGGATTTTCAGGGGCCTTGGACTTGAACCTGGGTCTTCTGACAGGTGACCCTGCACTTCCCCCTCCGTCCCAGGAGGTTATGCATAAAGACGCTTCCACCTGCCTCCCACTCCCATCCTTCCCAAGAGTGATCAGTGTCTGGTCTCTGAGGTGGAGGGGTGACCAGGGATCTTAGCCTGAGCAGGGAACTCTCTGCCCTGACTCCACATCCCTTCGGCCCCTCCTGAAGGCCAAGTACAAACACTCCTCGGCCTTGAGCAGCCAGCAGGGAGAGTGAAGTGGGTACTTACCCCCGTTTGCATTTCTTGTAGACTTTGTAAATGTTCTCCTCAGGGAAGCCATACTTCTCAGAGATCTGGAAGAGAAAGATGGGGGAGTCACAACCTGCAGCCCAAGCTGGATTTATGCGAGTCTTTTATGCCATCATTTTTGTACTTCCTGATTAGAGATGTAAAATATACTCACATTGTGGAAACATGAAGCAGACTACAATAAACCATGATCCTGTTTCCCAGAGATAAACACCATTAACATCTGAGTGTATGCTTTCCCATCTTGGGGTCACATGTGTGGATATTTTCAGGTTCTACCTACATAGTTTTATATCACTTTTTAAACTTATCATCGTATTATAAGCCTTCCAATTTCACAACAAACACTTGCCAACCAGCGTTTTTAGTGGATGGACAAGAGCCTAAAGAGCATCTCCCTTTCTCTGAAGCTGACTATCATCAACTGCCTACCCTTTTCCAGCTGGTGGCCTTGTGCAAGCTACTTGTGGAGACAGTAACAGAGCCCACCTCATAGGGCTGCTGGAAGAATTCAATGAGTCGATTCATGTAAAACACCTAGGACAGCTCCTGGCATACACTTAGGTCTGAACCAGTGGTCATTGGTATTATCTTGGAGGTGGAGCAATGGGTATGCTCTGCTCCCTGGTATGACAGGGCATAACCCCAGTGTTTCCCTCTTTTAGGGAGGATTTTTACTAACCCCATATTACGGGTAAACCTGCTGAGTTTGAGGAGGAAAGCCATGCACCCAGGGAAAACCTAGAACCCAGGTTAACTGACTCTATCACATCCCAAAATGCTGGAGTTTATTTTACAGACAAGGAGGCTGTGGTTCAGAGGCTGGCTGAGTGACTGGCCTGAGCTCACACAGCCAGAATCAGCCTGTGTTCAGAGCTCCCGAAGGTGCATCTGGGGCAGAAAGACCCAGTTTGGTCCCAGCTCCATCACCTACAGGTGCGCAACCTTGAACAGGTCGCCTTACTTCTCTGAGCCTCAGTTTCCTCATTCGTAAGACGGGCATAGTAATAGGATGTACATAAAGTATGCATATTAATTGAGATGATTATATAAGGTTCTGCCTGGTGGCTGCCCCATGGTAAAAGCTCTATAAAATGTTGGTGCTTAGTACTGGCTGCCCTGAAGCCACAGCAAAGTTCAGGCCACTGGTTTCAGGTGGAGATAGTCCTCTCTGGGCACTTTAGGAAGAGGATCAGATCCAGCTTTCGTTATTCTCTACCTTGACAGAGACCCCTTTAGGCAAGAAAGTTCTTAGACTAACTACTATTTCTTTTAATGATGATGTGACTGGAAGGTACCGGGAAGAAGATCTCAAATCAATCTAAGGAAGAACTCAGGAACTTCCTAAGCACAAATTGAACAAATTGTACAAAGACAGCATGAACTGCCCTTAAGGTAATAAGCTCTCTGTCCCTGGAAGTATACAAGACAAGAGTGGGCACCCACTTAGAAGAACTGTTGGAGGGAGAGCTTAAGGTACTTTCTAACCTAAAACTTCTGTGTTGATATTCAGGCGACGCTAATGGCGTCTTGTGAGCCCAGCTTCCTGGGGCTGATGCCAAGTGGGACTAATGATATGTCAAGACAACCAGACAGAAGAGCAGCATGAAGAGTGCTTGGGCTGGAATCCCAGCTCTGTCACTTCGAGCAAGGAACACTGGCCAGTCACCTGACCTCACAGAGGCTGTCCTTATGGGAAATGAGGAAATGCCAGCAGTGCCCCTCTTCAGGGTTGTTAATATGCGCCAGTAAATGCAGCGTGCCTGACCAAATGCTGGTCCATAGGAGTTCCTCAATAAAGGGTAGCTAACATTATTACTTGATTCCCCTCCTTTCCATCTTCCAGTCTGTGGTCTTGGCACCATCTGGCTTTTCTGAGTTCAACCTTCAAGCACAGCTGGCCCTGGTGGAGGCTGTGTTTGCTCAGTTTTCAGCTGAGCCACAAAGCTGTCCGTAGGTTTTGCTCAGGGCTGGGCTGTTTCACCTGCTCTCTGGCAGTCTGGGGGTGGGGGAACGTCTTCTTGCCCAGACACTGCCTTCAGCCACCCCAGCCAGTGCCCCCCAGCCAACACAAGCAGGAGGAATGAGGCCCCCGGGAAAGAAAAAAGAGTGTCTCTGGGGCCTGGCCTTTTTGGGTTTCATTCCCATTAAAACAGAAACAGGTTTGCAAAGCCAACAAAAAGCCCTGGCCTGTCAGACAGCAGCCATCAGATTAAGGAGGATTTATGGTGTGTGGGACTCCCAGGGTGGAGCCAAGGCTCTGACTGGGAGATAACATCGAGGAGGCACACTCCCACCAGCAGGGCCCCCGCAAGTGGGGTGGGGCAGGCAGGCCACAAGCAAGCCAAGGTTCCTTCCTGTGGGAAATCAGAACTGTGTAGTGTGGCGCAGGGTCAGAAACCCAGAAGGGGTCTGCCAGAGTGGGGGTGGGGGAGAGGTGAGGGCTGGGGGTGGCCTCACAAAACACCTTACCGCATTCCTCAGCCCCTTCAGGTCCGGAGTCTTCAACATGAGGGCATCGAACACCTCCTCAGTCTCCCTCCGCACATACAACAGGACTGAAAAGTAGAGGGGCAGCTTTGAAGAGCGTAAGGAGGACACCGTGCTCAGGAGTCTCTCAGGGGTAGGGGAGGCTTCAATAGCACTTCACTCTGAGGTGAATTTCTGCCGAGGGGCTGCACCCAGTAGGGAAGCACTCTGCCTGGCCCTACAGGTCCTCCCTTAGACTGTGCTGATCTGGGGGAGGCGAGGTTGGATTCCCATTCTACTACCTACCAGCCAAGAGACCTTGGGAAAGTGATTTTAACATCACAGAGCCTTGTTCTGATTGCATGTAAAACGGGAGCTCTGTCCCATTTCATAGACTTGCTGTGGGAATTAATGACAATATTTGGAAACGAGAGCAGTGCCAGGCTCAGTTCATGGTCGTTGGAAGCTTCTGATCTCAGCGCGAGCTGGTTTCTTCCTGATGGTCAGCGATAGCCTCCAGAGGTTTGGGCTTGTCCCTCCACCCTACCCCCCACCAGGAAGTCACAGATTTAGAGGGTCAAAGCCAGACACTGAAACCTCATCCCACTCCCACCTCCAGTTAGAGAAAGTGTGTGGACTCATTCAGCATAATGAGCCTGTTGCCCATCCAGCTGCCCAGGACCCCCACATGCACACGGGGTCAAGAGGACAGAAGCCCCCTACCTTATTGTTGTCTGTTCAAGCAGCCTGGGTGCTGTCCTTACTTTCACCCCCAAGTCTTGGCTCAAACCCAGCTCCAAAGTCAAGCAGCTCCTTGTGCCCCCCACCCCAGGGAAGGCTGTAGAATGGCCTCGTGGGAGGTGTGAGCTGGGGTGAGATCTGCCAGCGAATGGGGAGGGGAGGAGGTTACCTCTCTGAAGGTCATCTTCTTTGGCCTGCTTGGACAGCAGAGGCTCAAACTCCTCAGTAAAGGGTGAGCAGGTACGCTTGAGAGACAGCCTGTGGGGACAGCATGGAGGGGTTTGTGAGGACCCTGGGGCATCCCAGGGGCCCTAGAAATGGGAAAGACCCCATGAGGGTGGGCAAAGAGCAGTGAGACAGTGGGTAAAGTAGCAGGTCTGAAGTTGGTGGAGTTGGATTCCCTGCCACACACTAGCTTTGTGGCCTGGGGGAGTCCCTGAGCCCATCCATGACCCCAACTATAAAAATGGGGTGGTGAAATAACAATATTTCATAAGGTGGTGTGAAGCTGCATACTGCTCTGAGAACAGTATGTGACACACAGTAGGGCCTCAATAAATGCGGACTATTGTCATCATCATTGTTCTTTTTGTGTTTTTTTGAGTTGGAGTCTCACTCTGTCACCCAGACTGGAGTGCAGTGGCCAACCTGCTGGGCTCTGGCGATCCTTCCGCTTCAGCCTTCCAAGTAGTTGGAACTACAGGAGCGTGCTACCACGCCCAGCTAAATTTTTGATTTATTGTAGAGATGAGGTCTCGCCAAGTTGCCCAGGCAGGTCTCGAACCCGCAGGCTCGGGCAATCCACTCACCTCAGCCTCCCAAAGCGCTAGGATTATAGCCCATTGTTCTTTTTTGAAAGAATCAGGTCAGATGTGAGGCAGAGGGAGGAGGAAGGACGTCGGATTTTAGAGTAAGGCAGATTTCCAGTCCTGCCCCTGTGACTTAATAGCTACGTGACTAGAAAGCACTTTACTTTTCTGAGTCTCAGTTTCCCCATCCATAAAGTAGAGCTATAACCCTTGCTTGCCTAACTCCCTAGGGCTGTTGTGAGGTGACAAGTGGCAAAATTTGGTGTGAAAGCACCATCTGAAAAGTATATCTTGTTTATAGGGAAGAAACTGATCATAACAACAAATGACTTCCCAAAGCACTTTCCCATCTACAAAAGTTCCATATCCACACCACCCTCTGAGATCTGCCTTGCCTCCTGAGGTTGTTTTACTTATCTGACAAATCTGTGGGCTGAGGATTGGAAAGGTGAAGGAACTGTTCAGGGCATTAAGGCTGTCACTGACAGAGGGGAGGGTGTGCAGGCCTTTCCTAGTGTCTCTGGTGGTGGCGTGTGGAGGGTTTTAATTTCCCAAGTCCTCCAGCACAGCGTCCCTCTTTGCTCTTAGAATCTGCACCATCAGAGGTTTTTTCTTTCCCTTTTTACAAGCAGGTGTCTCGCCAGAGATTCACCAACTTTTCACATAAAACAAACCCATAAAAACCCAGGCAGTTTCAGTGAGAAAGGAGCTTGGATCCAGCTGGGGACTGGGGGCAGAGGTTGGTGGCTTCTTCCTCTAGCCCCAGGTTCTGGCTCGGGGAGTGGGGGAAAAGGCAGGCAGAAGCAGAAGGCATGGTCAGAGGGTACAGATGCAGGGGGAGGCCCTTGGCTGCTTCTCTCCATACCTGTTGGAGCTGCTGGGTCCTGCTGAGGGGACTACCTGCAAGGAAGAGAAAAGCCATCTCCAACACATGCAGAGGATGAGAGGAGCCCTCAGCTGTGGGGCCTCTTGGGAGGCACGTTATTTGGAGGGGCAGTGCTATTGTAATGCCTTCTAGCCCAAAGACCTTGAGTTGAAAGGAGTCATCTAGCCCCAACTGGGTGAGTCAGGGACTCCACACACACATAGGAGATGCTAAAGTAATTGGTGGCAAAGCAGTGAGTCTCACTGGGCCCCACCCGGCCCCACCTGAACGCTAGCACACCCCAAAGGGCTGGGAGTTGCAGTTGGTCCTGCAGCTGGGAACCAGGAAGTTGGAGCTGAGGCCAATGGGGAGAGACCTCTCTTTAGACACTGTGCACCCGGCATTGTGCTGTCTGGTGCAGGCAACACGCAGGCTGTGAATTGAGGACCTGAGGCCCCGAGAGGGCGGCCAACCTCCTGAAGTGGCATATCCAGCAGGAGGCAGTCAGGGTTCAAACCCAGACTCTCTGCTCCTGCTGCCCGTCTCCCCTCTTCCAGGTCACATGTGTGAGGGCTGACCCCTCCTTTGTCCCCACAGTACCTTAATCCTAAGTGGGCACTGCTCTACTCAGGGCCTCTGGCTAGGGGGAGAAAGCAGGAGGAAGCCAGAGAGAAGGGGCAGCATCACCCTGCCATGAGGCCACGTGCTGCTTCCAGGGCAGGAAGAGGAGGGGACATGGGAAGCCTCTGCATGTGCAGAGAGCTGCACCAGCCTAGCTGTTCTCTCAGATCCATGATCCACCTCGCTGCCCTAAATCAATACGCTAAGCACGTGTACACCAAGGTCTCTCTCTGTAAACTTCCCGCAACAAGGCTGGCGAGTTGTGCCCCAGGGAAGGAAGTGGTCAGACTGTTGGATATGGAAGCACACTAGCACTGGTTCTGGGGTCCTGATTCTGCTGTGAACTGTTGTGAGACCTTGCCTGGAAAAGGGGATAAGCAATCTCTCTCTCAAAGTACGGCCATAGGGGAAGTGAGATGGCAGGCAAGAGCTCAGGCTGGCCCATACCTGGCTGCTGGGGTTCAGTCCCTGCCTGAGAGGCAGAGTGGCTTGTGGCAAAGGGCATGGGTTCTGAAGCCAGACCCTGGCTCTGCCGCATGCTAGCTGTGTCTTCTAAGGAGGTTTCTTAACTCCTCTGTGCCTCCATGCCACCCACCCCGGGGGTTGTAGGGAGGGTTCAGGGGAGCACTCATAGCTGCACCTGGAGCACAGTAGAGCAAGCGCTGCCGTGATAACTTGTGTGGCTGCAGTCAGTGGGGCTCAGAAGCCAGAACCTCTGTGTGCCCTAAGCCTGCACATTTTGGTGGTTATGAGTATATTTCCCCTTTGACACGCTTCTCCTCCATATACTAGCTCACTAAGAGTTATGACTATATGTACATTTTTTAATACCTGGGATTCAATAAAGGCATTTCTCTTTTGAAACTGGCTGAGTGGCAGGTCGCTGCCCACCGGTGTGTGTGCTGAGGCGGGTCCCATCTGGGAGCCAGGACCCTCCCTCAGCCCCTCCCCCCGACCCAGCCTGTGGCCCTCACCCCTCCAGGGCGCTGCAGGCTGGAGAAGTGCACGTTGGGGATGAACAGCACTGGCGGGGTCTCCAGGTCAGCCTCTGGCCGTAGGTAGGTGGTTTCATTGCCCCTAAAGCCGGAGGACAGCAGGCAGCCCTTGATGCCTGATGGGAAAAGGAAGCCACTGTGCCCGAGGTCCCTCCACAAAGGTCTCTCCCGCCTCCAGTCGCTTTACCTCCTTTACCCCAGCCCAGCCCAGCCCACCCAGCCCCTGGCCAATCCCTACTGACCACTGTTGTTGGAGTCCGGGCACTTGACCTTCCTCCGGAACTGCTTCCTCTCGTCATCCCGCATCTTCCTCTCAGCTCCCTGAGGGGAGGAGAGGGGTCACCAAGGGCTGGGGAAGGGCTAGCTACTTTTGCAAATAGGGGCCAGGCTTTTGGTTCCGCCTTTTCCCCAGAACAAGACCAGGAAATGGGAAGGTACCCAGCCCTGCTTGCCTGAGTTCAGTAGCACAGGCCATGAGAGAGAGACACAGAGAGACAGAAAAGAAAAAACTTAGAGAGATGGAGGAGTGTGTGCATGTGTTGGGGAGGGGGGAGAAGAGAGAGAAACAGAGAGAGAGACACACCCAGAGAGGCTGGGAGGATGCATGGCTTGGGGCTTGGCTCTTGTCCCTCCCAGGACCCAGTGGGGAAGTCTGCCCAGCCACCTTGTCACAGAAGATCTTGATCTGGCAGACGGCGCGGTGTACTAGGCGTTCAGTGCCTGAACCACAGTCATAGGTGTCAATCTGCAGGTTCAAGGGGACACCCTTCACCCCCTTCTGTGAGGAGAAGTCTGTGCTTAGGCAGTTGACACCAATGAACACCTGGGGACAGAGTGGGGAGGCTGGGTAAGTGCCTGCCCAGGCCACCTACCTCACTAACCTGTAACAACCCTGTGTTTTAAGCCTTCTGTGTGCCTGATGAACACCCTTAAGCCCCACAGGGCTCCTGAAAGACAAACATCATCACTCCTCTTTCACAGATGGGGAAACTGATGCCCAGGGAGGAGGGTAACCTTCCCAAGGTGACACGGCAGTATGTGGGAAAACTGGGGTGTAACCTAGACTCAAGCCCAGGTTCTCCCTCACTGGACCATCTGGCTCCCACTAGACTGCCAGGGCAGACCCCGTCCACCCCAGCCGTGTGCTCAGTCATTGCTGGAGCCTCCAGGGGAAGGTTCCTTCACCTCATCTGGCCCAGCCCACGCAAGGGAGCCATCCTGGTCACCCCCTCACAGCTGAGGAAATGGAGGCTCTCGGCAGGGACATCACTTGCTGCCGTTCCCCCAGGAAGTCGAGCAGAGCAAAGCAAAGTGAGCCTGGAGGCGGGTCGCACAGACGTGGTGGGCTCTGCCACTCACTAGCCATGTGGCTTGGGACAAATCCTTCCACCTCACTGAGCCTTGTTTCCTTATATGCAAAATGAGGATAAGTCAACATTGGTGAGGGTTGTAGGCCACCTATGATCCTTGGTATGTTGTGACTAGGTATGTTGTGACTATCGTCGTGAGAGCTGTTACGACAGCTGGCAGTCTCACCCCGAAGCCTGTGCCCAGCTGGTGGTGGCCGGGGCTCAACCTCTGCTGGGCAAGCCCAAGGTCACCTGGTGACTGCCCCTCTGTGGGGCTCCATGGGACCCCCACCCAGGCCAGTCCCTGGTCTTTGGGACATTTCCCTCGGAAATGACTCTGACCTGAACAGGAGATGGGGCTCATGCCCCCAGGCACATGCCAGACATTCCTCCCCCTCAGCGAGCACAGCCCTCAGGCAGCCCCCACCCACGTGCACCTGAGAAAGACCCAAGCCTGGGGGCTTAAGAGGCTGTGAGAAAATCCCTACCGAAACCCACCTCTCCCTTCCCATGAAACTTTCCCCCACCAGTTTCCCCACCTCCCAGAACTGAGGCCCCAGCCCCCCTCCAGGCCTGGCGTCTGTTTGAATAACAATAATCCCTTGCCTTTGTGCTCCCTTTGTGCATTCAGAGCTCCTGCCCCTCCACTTCTTCAGGCTGCCTGGCCGTCCCCTGAGGAGGCTGGGAGGCAGGGACTGGCTCCCCAGCCTTTCCAGGCCGGAAATGCCCTCGACAGGAGCTGGACCCTACCCTGGTGAGTGAGGTCGCCCTGGTCCAGGGAGGGGAAGGGACAGGCCCAAGGTCCCCCCGGCTCTTGACTCCCCTGCCATGAGGCCAGCTCTCTAAACAGAAAACTGAGACACAGCGAGGCCCACAGGCACAGGCAAGTTCCTAGCTGGGTGAATTTTTTTTTTTAAGCAGGATTTATTGAGAGACCAGAAAAGCTCCCACAGTGGGAGGGGACCCCAGGGGTTGCCCACTGAGGAGAATCTTAATGGCTGAACCACTGGCATGAAAAAGGCACCAGAGGCTCCATCCCTCAGGCTTCTCAGATGGACTGCCACTGCAGTCTCTTAGACGTGCATGATCTCCTGGAATCTTTACCACAGTCCTCAGACAGATTAGTGCCTCCATTTTATGGGCTCAGAGAAGTGAGGCAACTGGGAGTTGAGCCCTCAGTCACCAGACTTCATAGCATTTCTCCTGCAACATTCTGCATTGACCCAGAAGCTGAGAAACCTGGGTGCCATGAGCGGCTGGCTGTGCGACCTTGCAGAAGGTTCAGTTTTCCCAGCTGGTAAATGGGTGGATTGAATTAATAACAGCCACTACTTATGTGCCAGGTATGTGCTCTACCTGTTACCTGGCTCACCTGATCCTCAATACAACCTCTCGATTGGTGTTACAATTCCACTCCAATTTTACAACCAAGGAAACGGAGGCCCAGAGGACCTAAAGGCATTGGTCCAAAGTGGAAGGGCTGGGATATGAACCCTGCTCACCTGGCTCCAGAGTCATGCTTCTACACCATTCTGTATCCCGCCTCCCCTGTGGGTGCCTTCATCAGAGCGAATGCCACAGTCTCGGTGCCAGCAAGCCTCTCCCCCAGTCCCATCCCAGCCACCATTCCCAGTGCTAACCTTGGCCTCCTCATTCACATTCCACACGAAGGACAATGCGTTATAGGCCACCTCCTCAATGTGCTGCACTGTGTTGAAGTTTTCTTTGCAGTCAGCTGAAACCACAGGAGACCAGAAGAAGAATCAGGAAGGGAAGGGATCTGGGGTGCTTTGGGGAGGAGGCGTTTAGGAACTGGGCCTCACTCTTGGCAGGGCATCCCCACTCCCCAGAAGCCACACTTTGGTCCAGGGAGGTGAACAGATTACTGTGCCTGGATTGCAGATGGGAAAGCAGGGCCAGTCCAGGAGGCAAATCTGCCCAGAGCCGCAGAAACTCCCAGCTCTGCCAGCTTGGCCCATCATCTTTGGGTGGAGGCTCTGTTTTCCATCATGACTGAGATTTAGGAGCGCTCCTGGATAGAGCAGCAGCAGTAGTCGTAACAGTAGCCGCAGCAGGGTAGTAATAGCAGTAAAAATAGTAGGGCTGGCCACTATCATCTACTGAACACTTACAAACAGCAAGCCCCTGCTCAGCCTCACCATGCTATGAATATTCCATTTATTCATAAGGAAAATGAAGCTCAGAGAGGTGTGGTTACTTGCCTAAAGTCACATATCTAATAAAATGCAGAGCAGGGGCTGCAGCTCAGATCTGTCTGGCTCCAGAACCCCTGCTCCTAACTACTCTGTTAACCAGCCTCTCAGAGAAGTCACTGATGGTCCCCACTTGTATCAGGTTCTCCCAAGCACAAGGCAGCACTGTAGGCAGGCAGGGCAGCTGGACTCGACCCATTTGACACTTGAGCAAGCTGAGACTCAGGAAGGGGAGGTGATGTAGGTCACATAGCCAGGAAGACAGTGACAACTCAAGGGTGGACTGTGCCTCCTGCCAGTTTCAGGGCTTGGGACAGGGACAAGGTAGCACACAGGGACCCTTGCCCTGTCCCCTACCTGCTGACAGAGCCCAGATCCCCACTCCCAAAGCAGACTGCTCAAGTGCGCTGCCTGCACTATTATCTCATCCATTTGTGTCTCCATCAGCCCCCTGATGAGGACAGGCCAGCATCTCAGGGGCCTATTTATCTGACACTGCTGGAGGCCCCAGGGCCCTGTTTATCCCAAAGCAATACTGAAAAGAGGCCGCTGCTTCTAGTCAACAGATGCAACTCCCTGGAAAGGCCACAGTGTTTGACCTGGAGACAGAGGTCAAACCTTCCTCAGAGGGGGCTGAGGAAGAAGGGCTGCAGCAAGGCAGAGGCCTGGCTGCTGTGGGGGCGGGGAAGAGAGAAAGATTAGGATGGGGACTTGGGCAGGCTCTTACCCACGTCGATGACCCGCTGCTTGGCGGTGGGCTGTCGGGAGTGCCAGTGCTTCCAGAATCGCAGCTGCTCTACTGGGACCTTGTCATTGTCGAAGACAACCATCACCACGCTCTGGCAAGCATAGCAGGTCACTGTCACTCCAGCCTTGGAAGAGGCCCAAGCAGTCCCAGCCCCTTCCCAGAGCTTAGGTCCAATGGCCCTGCCCTTTCTCCTCCGTTTTCCCAACCCCATGGCAATGGGCCCTGTGTTCCAGACAGCCTCTCCCCGAGGTCCCCAGCTGGCACGACCAGGAGGTATGTCTTAAACCTTCACCCCTTCCCAAGCTGCTCCAGGGCCAACGCACCTTGACTTTGTTGGAGGACAAGGCAAGGCCTTTGCCACCTGCTGGAGTCCGCAGGGTGACAGGGTAGAACTGGCCCTTGTTGAGATAGGCCATGGGAGACTCGCCTGACTTGATGTGGATGGCTTTGGGGGAGCCCAGGGTATATTCAAAGTCACTGCAGGGAGGAGGAGGAGGAGGAGAAGGACAGTGAGGATGGGCTTCCAGGCAAAAGCAGTGCAGATGCAGTGAGGCAGGAGGCCTGTGGCTGTGTTATGGATTCACTGTGTGACCTCGGTAAGTCACTTCACTTCCTCGGGCCTCAGTTTCTACATTTTGGGGGTTCTATTTAATGACTTTCTTGAGCCACAATCCTGCTGAATAATAAAGGCCCAGTGAAAATCAGAGAGACCTGTGAGGGGCAACAAAGCCACAGAGGAAACTACGGGTAACCAAACTTCAGTTTTCGAATAGGGTGCTAAGCTCTGAGCTCCCTGTCACAGCCCAGGAAAGGGATGTGGAAAACATTCTCTCTCCTTTATCTGCCTTCACGCCCCTCTCTTCATTCATGATTATGCCTGCTATGCTCGGGGGACAGTGTGGGGCTCTGCCTGCAGCTCCCCATCCATTGTCCACTACCCAAATGGTCAAGGGTCCAGGCCAAATTACCTTTTGAGACTAGGATAGTCCTCTGGACATGATGGTTCCGGGGATGTTTTCAGGATATCTGGGAAGAGCAATGACTGCAGAGAAACACAATTCCAAGAAAATAAATGGCCACATTCAGTCTGTGGGGGCCTCTGCCCATGGCTATACATATAGCTGTGCAGGTTGTGCAGCGTACAACTTGAACAACAGTACACGGCAGCCCAGTCTTGACTCTAGGACTTTCTCCTAGATTCCAAAGTTCTGACCTTTTCATGATCTTCTCTCTCCTTCTGTACATGCATGCACATATCTATGCTGTGAGGGGCATGGGGGTGGGCCCTTACCTCCTGTGGGTCATCTTTGAAGGTGCTGTCTGGCTGCCAGCGTTGTGTGGGCGGCACCCCATGAATACTCTCAAACAAGGAGTTGAGGGAGCTGCTGTCATACATATCGCTGGTGGGTAGCAGGTAACTGTCCACAGAGCCAGCCTCTAGCTTGCTGGGACCTGGGGGGAGGGGAGCTGCCTTGCCCGGGGCGGGCACGGGCCCCTCCAAGCTTATCAGGTTGTTCTTCTTGAGCAGATCTGGGTACTCTGGGGTTCCAGACACGTTCTCTGTCAGGAACTTCATGAGGTGGGTGGGGCTTTCCAGGGGAGCAAGGTCCGTCTCATACTCCATGCCATGGTAGTGCCTGGGGAGGGAGCCAAGGGGCTAGACTGGAGGTTGACCATTACGTGGACACAAAGCTCTTATGCCACTTGATATGTTACAGACCCCCAATATGCATGAATAAGACACTGCAGTAGGCTGGTTGGTGGCTATGTGAGGAGCAGGGAGGAGAGTGTTGAGAATGGAGCCAAGTACAGCTCAGGGTTAAGGGGAAACATCTGTTTTACCCATCACAGTACTTGTTCACTTAAAACACTGAAAGTGTAGTCACTTATTTCTTAGCCAGAGTCAAATGTCCTCACTTCAAAACCCCTGTCTTGAGGCATTCTGTGGGGAGGTATGCAGTGTGCCAGGCATGTGTATGTGGGATACTGTGTACCGGCGAGTACAGTTAACACATGTTGAGATGTGGTCTGGGGTTGGGTGCAGTGGTTCAAGCCTGTAATTTTTGGGAGGTGGCGGCGAGAGGATTGTCTGAGCCTGGGGTTTGAGACCAGCCTGAGCAACTTGGCGAGACCTCATCTCTACAATAAATTAAAAAATTAGCCAGGCGTGGTGGCACATGCCTGTAGTTCCAGCTACTTGGAAGGCTGAGGCGGAAGGATTGTCGGAGCCCAGCAGGTCGAGGCTGCAGTGGCTGGGAGTGTGCTACTGCACTCCAGTCTGGACGATGGAGTGAGACTTCAACCCCCCCCAAAAAAAGAAAAAAAAGAACGTGGTCTAGAAGATTGTACCCCAGACTGCTACGGGGGACTGGGTGGAGGATTACAGGAAAATGTTATTTTTTACTTTATACATTTCTACAGAGTTTGCATCTTTTGCAAGAAACAGAAATGGCTTTTGAAACTAGAAGAGTTAATAACATCTCTAAAGATTAGTTTTGAGAAAGGCCCCTGTGCACACAAACCCACTGTTTCTGGCAGTGGAGGGGAGTGGCCCTGAGCCCCATCCCCACATGCTCCCTGGGATATGAGAAGAGCTGCCAAGCCTGCCTTAGCAGTTTGGATTTTCTGGAAGGCAGACAGAGGTCCAGAGGGCTTCCCAGCAGAAGTCCTACAGGGTCATTTGAAAGGTCACCTAATTGGCAGAGAAGGAGAAAGTAGAGAAAGAGGGCAAGGTGCTCATCTAGCCATGGGTACAGACTGGGCTGCTTCTACAGAAAAGGAACACCGGTGCCCCGAGGCGCTGACGCCAGGCAGAGGCCCAGCAAGCTAGGGGAAGAAGTATGGGAACCCAGATGGGAACCCAGATGTCCCCTCCCTGGCTCAGGTCTCTCTCCCCAAGAGGCTGAAGGTAGAAGGGTTTGGAGTGGACAGAAAAGCTGCCTCCAGGGCTTTTCCACTACAAGGCTTTGAAGTCTGTTTTCAGTAAACTCCAGCCCACACGGCCCACAGGCATCTAGGGGGTGTGTGTGTGTGTGTGTGTGTGTGTGTGTGTGTGTGTGTGTGTGTGTGTGTGCGCGCGCACGCAGTTTCATTATGATTTTCGTGGGCCCTCAGCTCTTCTACTTCACCAGCCCCTTCAAAAAATTCTACAATATCTTTTCCAATTGCACTGGTATAAAAACAAACATAATCCAGGTGGGGTTAAATTAATTTTTTCTTCTAACTTTGAGATAAAACACTCTCAAGGGCGCCAAAATGTGTGTCCTCAGCACTGTGCCTCCTGTGCCTTCGGATAAGTCAGCCCGGTGATGAAGAGGTCAGAGGTGGAGGTGAGGGTGGAGGGGTGGGAGTGAGGTGGAGGTAGGAGTGGGGTGAGGGGAAGGGCAAAGGCAGAGACACCTGGCAAGCCTCACCTCTTTCCTTGGTCGTTCCTGCCCCCAGTGCTGGAGGACAGTATCCGCTTCTCCTTGGGGCCCTGCGAGGAGAGGAAAGGATTTATACACGGCTCTTTGCTAAGATCTGGCTGTAGGAACCTCAGGCTCCTCTAGTCAGTGGCTTTGACCCGGCAGGGGAGCAACCTTGGTTGCTGGGAGAAACCCCTCGAGTACTTCAAGCAGGCAGGAGCTCCAGCCACCATTAGTCTGAGTCCCAGATCAGGAACTGGGAAGAAGTACCTCAAACTTAGTAGTTAGGGAGCATGAAATTTGGAGTCAGGCAGGCTTGGCTTAAGTCCTAGCTTTGCCACTTGAAAGTGCACTGTAACTTTGGATAAATGACTACCTCTCTCTGAGACTCAGTTTCTTCATCTGTCAAGTGGGGGATTATAATACCTACTTCAAGGAGATTATGAAGATTTGTTTAAAAATACTCAGCGTTTTTAAATAGAGTACTTCTTATGTACTAGACCTTATACTAAGTGCCTTCTATCCTCGAAGTTAACCCTCACAGTCACTCTGAGATATCTAACATCATCACCATTATATGGAAGAAGAAACCGAGGCTCAGAAAGACTCTGTTGTTTTAGTGCTTAGGAGCATGGAATCTGAGTCCAGATTTTTGGGGTTCAATTCCTAGATCTGCCACATACTAGCTGTGTGACCTTGTGCAAGTTCTTTAACCTCTCTGTACCTCAAATTCTCATCTGTAAGAACAGGGACAATAATAGTAATACCAACCTCAGGAATTGTTCTCAGTGCTTAGAACAGCACCTAGGCACATGGAAAGAGTTATATAAATGTGACCTTTCATGATTGTAATATTGCTATATCTTAGAACATTCTAACTCATCTGTTCCTAAGGCTGATAAAGCCAGAGCCAGGACTCCAATCCAGTCTGGGGACTCCAAAGCCTGGGTTTTTAACCATATCCCATGGGAGAGAATGAGGGAAGGTGCCCGACACAGTACCAGGCATTCAATAAGAAATGATAAGTGGCTGCCTTTAGCACTAGATTGCTGAAGGCCACATTTGGCAGGACTAGGGCTCCACCTCCCAACTTAATGCCCTTTCCAAACCATCAGACCACATCCTCACTGTCCACAGGGCTGCTTTGAATACAGAGTACTCTGGGAGGGGAAGGGCAGGGCAGGTGTATCTCACCAAGACAGTGTACCTCACTAAAACTAATACTACACATTCACCTTCAGAGCCTGTCCCCACCATTCTGGCCTTGGAAATGGCCTCTTGCCCAGGGAGGATGGTGCTGGATTTTATTTTATGGTCCAACCTTGACCTACAAACCCCAACCTGGGGTTTGAACCCATACCTAGAATTCTGGCTCCTACCATGGCCCTAAGCAGAGAAAGCCATTCAAATTCCTTTTTCATTGGCCTGGGATGAACACTATCAGGGTGCTATCAGTCTGCTGGGGAAGAGGTAGGGTAGGATAACCATACCACTCCAGGAGGAGATCCAAAGCTGGAGAGATAGTTTGAGGCCTCCCTCCTATCTGAAGCCATGTCCCCCTACACTCTCTTGCCCTCTGAATTCATGCAGAGTATTTGCCTTTCTTCTTGTGGTAGAGTGGATAAAATACTCTTTGGGCAACTAAGTTTGAAGACCTATTTATAAGGTGGCTTTCAGTCCTCAAGTTCAGAGCCCATTATCTCAACAATTGGCTGGCTACTGATGTCTCCCATCTCCAAATCTAGGAAAGTCTCTTGGAGCAATCACTCAGCCCATAGATAGCAAGTAAGTTTGCTGTCTTGTGACAATTCAGATAGATGGGTAAGGGATGCCTGAACTACTATGTTGACAAAGATTCTGCAGTCCCATGTGAGATCATGGGCCTCTCGGTGAGAATACAGACTGTAATCCATTAGTAATGTCTGGCACAGGTACTGGAAGTGGAAGGTGGGTTGCATCACATGTGTTATATTTTTATGATTACTGACTGGTTCAAGCCCCACTTCTCAGATATAGAAGGGAGGCCTAACTCCTGTTCTCAGGCACCAGCAGTCTTGCAGAGACAAGGCCAAGGTCCTGGAAACAATTAGAGAACAACAAAAGATGTAATGGCAGCAGAGACAGGAAAGAAAGTAAAACCCTTGGGAGAAGGAGGCAACATGGCAGGATGGTTTCCAAGAGAAGACAGGATCTGGGAAGTGCCTTGAAGGAAGGGACTCGGTTAAAGAGCAGAAGGTGTGTTCCAGTGGCAGGGCTGGCCCAGGCAGTGGGGATGATGGAACTTGGTGTGGTCAGAGGTCAGGGCCGAAAGAAGACAGCAGGGTGGGGATGCTGCTTTTATAGAGTGTGCTTGGCTAAGGCAAGGGGTGGGCAGCACTTGTCTACTCCGTCAAAACATATCATGCACTGTGAAACAGGCTGTGTGGTGTGCCAGGGACTCAGTAATGATCATGACATTACTGCCCTCCAAAAGTTCAGTGTCATGGGGGAGATGGAGAAAGAAATGTGCACATAGCAACTAAGGATAGAGTCGGAAGTCCTAGCCAGAGCAATCTGGCAAGAAAAGAAATAAAAGGAATACAAATTGGAAAAGAAGAAATCAAACTATCTCTGCATACTGATAACATATAATCTTATACCTATAAAACCCTAATGACTCCTTCAAAAGACCTCTGGACTTGATAAGTGAATTCAGTAAAGTTTCAGGATACAAAATTAACACACACAAATCAGTAGCACTGCTATACACCAATAGCAACCAAGCTGAGAATCAAAAGAACTCATTTCTACTTACAATAGCAGCCAGAAAGGTAAAATACCTAGGAATATATTTAACCAATGTGAAAGATCTCTACAAGGAGAACTACAAAACTCTAATGAAAGAAATTGCAGAGGACACAAATGGAGAAACATCCTATGCTCATGAACTGGAAGAATCAACATTATTAAAAAATGACCACATTACTCAAAGTAATCTACAGATTCAATGTAATCCCTATCCAACTATCAACATTATTTTTCACAGAATTAGAAAAACAATCCTAAAATTCAAACCAAAAAAGAGTCAGAATAGCCAAAGCAATCCTAAGCAAAAAGAACAGAGCTGGAGTTATCACATAACCTGACTTCAAATTATACTACAAGGTTGTAGTAACTAAAATAGCATGGTACTGGTACAAGAGCATACACATGGACTAATGGAACAGAATAGAGAATCCAGAAACAAACCCAAATACCTACAACCAGCTGATCTTTGACAAAGCAGACAAAAACACACACTGGGGAAATGACACCCTATTCAACAAATGGTGCTGGGAAAATTGAATAACTACATGCAGAAAAATGAAACTTGATCCCTATCTCTCCCCATATACAAAAATCAACTCAAGATGGATTAAAGACTTAAATATCAGACCTGAAACCATAAAAATCCTAGAAGAAAACCTCTTATGGAGCAAAAGAATTTATGGCTAAAACCCTGAAAGCAAATGCAACTAAAACAAAAATAAATAAGTGGGACTTATTCAAACTAAAAAGCTTCTGCACAGCAAAAGAAATAATCAACAGAGCAAACAGGCAACTTACAGAATGGGAAAACATATTCACAAACTATACATATGACAAAGGACTAACATCCAGAATCTACAAAAAAACCAATCAGCAAGAAAAAAGCAAATAACTCCATTAAAAAGTGGGCAAATGACATAAATAGACATCTCTCAAAAGAAGATATACAAATGACCAACAAACATATGAAAAAATGCTCCACATCACTCATAATCAGGGAAATGCAAATTAAATCACAATGAGATATCACCTTATAACAGTTAGAATGGCCACTATTAAAAAAATAAAAAAACAAAAGATGCTAGCATGGATGAGAAGAAAAGGAAACACTTATACACTGTTGGTGGGAGTGTAAATTAGTACAACCTCTATGGAAAATGTTATGGAGATTACTCAAAGAACTAGAGTAGATCTACCATTTGATCCAGCAATCCCATTACTAGGTATCTACCCTAAGGAGCATAGGTCGTTATATAAAAGAGACATCTGCACCTGCATGTTCACTGTAGTACAACTCACAATTGCAAAGATATGGAATCAGCCTAAATGCCCATCAACTGATCAGTGGATAATGAAAACGTGATATATATACCCCATGGAATACTATGCAGTCATAAAAAGAATGAAATTATGTCCTTTGCAGCAATATGAATGCAGCTGGAGATCGTCATCCTAAGTAAATGGACTCAGAAACAGAAAACCAAACACTGCATGTTCTCACTCATGTGTGGGATGGAAATAATAGACACTAGGGACACCAATAAGAGGGAAGGGGTTAGGGTTCAGAAACTTCCCCCGGGACACAATGTTCACTATCTGGAGAATGGACCACCTGAGACCCTCCATGCTACTACCCAATATGTCCATGTAATAAATACACATGTGTACTCCTTGAATCTAAATAAATAAATAAATACATAAACAGGATAGAGTCAAGGATGCTGTTGGTGGTTGAGGGTGCCCAGATGAGACACAGAAAAGGAGACCCAAGAAAGCCTCCCAGCAATGAATGAATGAGGTAACATTTAAGCTGAGAGTAGGGTTTAGCCAGGGGAAAGAAAGGGTGCCATGCAGAAGCAACAGCAAGTGCAAAGGCCCAGAGATGAGAGGCAGGGTGGTCATGGAGGGCTGCTGAGTTATGAGACCTAAAAGCAGAGACACATGTTCAGTTGGAAGTGGGCATGCCCAGAGGGGATGGACGTACCATATAGTAATCGTAGAGGAAGCTCAAGGCTGCAACGCTGTCATCGTCCCCATTGACTCTCATCATGGCCTTCGTGGCGGCTGTCAAAGGGTTTTCTAGGTATGTCTTCCAGGCCTCATCCTCACTAGTGTAAGGGAACTTCTGGAAGGTAACTGGGTCATTCTTTAGCAGCCGCACAGACCTGAAACTGAATGCAAGTAAGGAAGGTCAAATTTGGGCTGTCCTAGAGAAAGGTCCATGAATGGACAGCCTCAGGCCAATGCCCAGGGAGACACTAGCTTTGAAAACTTGAAACTGCTTCTTCTTCTGTCACATTAGGCAGCGAAATAGGCCCAAACCCTGAAGCTAGATCAATACCAAATGCTGCCATTTAGAAGCTGCAGACCTAGGACCTCGGTTCCCTCATCTTCAACATGAGAACCATCATCCTGATCTTGCAAAGTTACAGAGAGGATTCAGGAAAATACTTCCATAGTAGACACTTACTCAAGGGCAATCAATGCAATTGGGAAATGACAGTGACAAGCTGCAACATGGCTAAGAATCAAATCTCAGGCCAGGCTCGGTGGCTCAGCCTGTAATCCCAGCAATTTGGGAGGCCAAGGTGAGTGGATTGCCTGAGTCCGTGGGTTCGAAACCTGCCCAGGCAACTTGGCAAGACCTCGTCTCTACAATCAATCAAAAACTAGCCGGGTGGTGGTAGTGCGCACCTATAGTTCTGACTACTGGGAAGACTGAGGCAGAAGGATTGCCAGAGCCCAGCAGGTCGATGCTGGGGTGACCGTGCGTGTGCCATTGCACTCCAGCCTGGGTGACAGAGTGACTCTGACTCAAAAAAAAAGAAAAAAAAAAAAAAGAATCAAATCTCCAGATAATCCATCATGGGTTCTTCTGAAGAAGTTGTACTTAAGACCACGAACATACAGGCTGGGCATGGTGACCCACACCTGTAATCTCAGCACTTTGGGAGGCCAAGGTGAGAGGATTGCCTGAGCCCAGGAGTTCAAGACCAGCCTAGGTAACACAATGAGACCTAATCTCTACAATAAATCAAAAAATTTAGCTGGTCATGGTGGCATGCACCTGTAATCCTAGCTGCTTGGAAGGATGAGGTGGAAGGATTACCTAAGTCCAGCAGGTTGAGGCTGCAGTATCTGTGATCATGCCACTGTACTCCAGCTTGGGTGACAGAGTAAGACTCTAACTCAAAAAAAGGAAGGAAAAAAAGATCATGAATGACACAGAAGGCTGCAGATGATTTCAAATCTGGGAGAAAGCATGGCTAATGACCCTGCGGTGAGGAAGGACCTGGTCTTAGGAAATGGCATTTCAGACCAATGTTTATCATACAGTGCCCAAGCAGCTGCTCAGAACCCAGGACCTGGAATTGAATGCCACAGGGCACATAGAGGCAGGCAGGACCTGGGCACTGGTGCTGAGACAGATACAAGGCACTACAGCTCAAGGGACAAACCACCACATGGGCTCCAAGGAAAGAGATCAGGACAGGTTTTTGGGAAGAGGCATTTTAGTAGGGAAAACTTAGCACTGGGGATTATTTCACTCAAAAAATGGTAGGAAGGAGCAGGGATGGGGACCTAATTACAGAATAATAAGGATAATGGTAAAAATAATATCTATTCTTTTTTTTTTGAATTTCGGTTTCACTATGTTGCTCAGGCTAGAGTACAGTAGCATGATCATGGCAATCATGGCAACCTTGACCTCCTGGACTCAGGCGACCCTTCCACCTCAGCATCCCAAGAAATTGGACTATAGGGACGTGCTATTACACCTGGCTAGTTTTTTGTAGAGATGAGGTTTTGCTGTTTCCCAGGCTGGTCTTGAACTTCTAGGCTAAGATTCTGAATGTCATCATCACAAAGAAATGATAAATGTTTAAAGTGATGGGTATGTAATTACCCTGATTTGATCATTATACAATATACATACACACATTGAAACTCACACTATACCTTATAGATATGTATTATGTCTCAATTATAAATAAAAAATTAATTAAAAAAACACAGATTGCTGGGCGCTGCCCCTAGAGTTTCTGATTTACTAGATCTGGGGTGGCTGAGAAACTGCATTTCTAACAACTTCCTTGGTGATGCTGATGCCGGTAATCTCGAGATCACATTTTGAGGAATCAATGGTATAGCACATGCTCTTAATCATGAGCAAAGACATAGGTGTGGGACAGTTCTGTTTGAGTTCAATTTAGAGCAAACAGTGTGTGAAGGACAGTGGTAGGCAGGAAGATGGGGTGGACAGGCTACCAAAGAGGGCCCCAGAGATGAAGTGGGCACTGACTGGTCTCCTGGTGTTCCAGTGCGTCCCTTTCCACGTGGGCCTGATAGACTCACCCATGCCGGGCACATAGGAACAACACTAGCTGCTATTTGCTATGAGGCATACGGATACTCTCCATGCATTAGGTCTGCTTCTTACAAGGACACTACAAGGTAAAGGCCATCTGCTTCATCTGTAAAGAAGAAACCTGATTTTTGGAGAGAATAACAAAATGCCCAGGATCACCCAGCTAGTTCCTGATTCAGCCAGGATTTAAACTCAGACTTATCTAGCTCCAAAGTCATGTACTTCCCACTCAGCCACACTGCTTTTCCATTTGCAAAAAGACAGTCTTTAAAACAGCAGGGAAACACGTCCATGGCCAGATGCAGCACAGTGGCAGAGTAGTGGGTGGGCAGGAACCCCATGACCATGTGCAGGAAGTGAAGTGCCATTCTGCCACCCAGCCGTTGATGCCCACATTCTCAGACTTAAGTGGGAACAGCAGACCAGGTTTATACCTAGGCACATGGTGGTCACCAGTTCTCCCAGGGGCTTCATCCAGGGCAGTGTCACCCATCCCACTGGGCCCCAGGGTACAGGGAGATGGAGCTGTCACACAGGAAAGAGAAATGACAGAAAGCTTCCTGCTCTAGGGGTGCAGAGAATGATGTACACCCTGAATTTCTGCTGCTATAAATCAAGGGGCCTTAAGGTGAACAGGTGAGAAGAGGCCTCTCCTAACTGCCTCATAGGGCTGGAGTTAGAGAAATTGACTGAGTAGCTCTCTGCCTAGCGCCAGCGTTAAGAGAACTCCCAAACCAAGGAGGCACTGGAAAAGCAGGGAAATGCTGATGGGCCCCACCCCCTGGGGCAACAGGGACCACCAGTGGTTAGCACTGCTTCTCATTCGTAAAACAGTCTAATAAAAGTAACAAACATGTAGGGTTATGAGGATTAAGTGCACTGCCAAAAGAAAAATGCTTAAAACGATGCCAGGCACATACCAAATGCTTAATACACACAAGCATCATGGAGTTCCAGGCCAGCTTAGAGCTATACATTGAGGGGTTGCAACGTGGTACAAGAAATGGTCACCCTGCAAGTCAGTGGCAGGTCTAGGCCTGGAGCCCCAATTTGCTGACTCTGGAATGACCATTATCAGCTTTGGTGCTAAGAGTTATGTTACCCTTTAAACCAAATTCATTTTAGAAGACAACAACAAAGTCCCACAAAAACAAAAGAACAGACAATGTTTGTTGTTCACCTAAGAGATTTTCTAGCCTACAAAGATCTCCAATCCATCCTGCAGGGATCCCAAAGTCTGATTCCCTGATAAACAGCAACTTCTGAACCTTAAGCATTTACCAAAGGTAGACAAAGAGTCAAATATCTTTGAGTGTCATCTCATCTACTCCACACAAAAGCCCTGATAGAAATTATCCTCTCCTTTTACAGAAGGGGAAATTGAGACTCACACCAGCAATATCACCTGTTCAAGGTCACTCAACCAATGAACGATGGGAGCTTAACTTGAACTTGGACCTGCAGGATTGCACGATGTAGCTCTTAACCCGTGTGCTGGTTTCTTTTCTAGATATTTTTCCTATTCTGGAAATTTCCCTCCTCTGGAATACACTGAACCAATTATCTGCTGCAAGGCAGAAAGGAATTTCCCACCCACACAAGGCAGGAGGGATGAGAAGGCAAGGTGACAAGTGGAAGAGTCTCTGGCAGGTGCTGGCAGCCCTAACCGTCCTGGTTTCCATGACACCAATCAACCTCATGTTCCAAGACTAGGCATTTGGCTTCTAGAAAGTCTTGACAATGGATAAGCACTTTTCATGAATTATTATATCACTTAATTCCCACGACAACCCTGCAAGTCAAGTACTATTACTACATCCGTTTTACTGACTTTTGGCTCTCTGATCTCCTGAAGATTGGAAATGAGGATTGAGGAACCAGTAGGTAAGACAGAAAAAAAAGTTCTCCAGGGAGCTGATGCTTGATCAATGTGAAAAGGGTTCCAAGAAGGAGTGAGTAGTACTCATGGGTGACAGGGCCAGAACAAAGAGGGGAAATGGGGAGACTCCCAGCCTGTGAGGTCACCTTTCTCAGGGTCTCCACTAACTCTCTGTTGGTGTCCAAGACAGAACTCTTTTTTGGATTTTTTTGGGTCTTTTTGAATTGGAGTCTCACTCTGTCATCCAGACTGGAGTGCAGTGGCCGCTCCCGGCCACCACAGCCTCGACCTGCTGGGCTCCGGCGATCCTTCCGCCTCAGCCTTCCAAGTAGCTGGAACTACAGGCACACACTACCACAACCGGCTAATTTTTTTGACTTATTGTAGAGATGAGGTCTCGCCAAGTTGCCCAGGCGGGTCTCAAACCCGCGGGCTCAGGCAATCCAGACAGAACTCTTAAGCTATCAGAAAGTAAAAAAAGAATGGGGAAGGTGGAGAGCGGGAGAAGACTTTGCCCTGGGCAACATTTCTGACATCAGATCTCTACCAAGGCACTGCAAAGCAGAACCTGTGATACCATAGAAGGAAGAAGTACCAGGATCACAGCCCATGGGTTTGGTAACTATGTGTCTTAGCTCTTCTGAACCTATTTTCTCATCTGTTAAATGGTTCTATTGAGTGTCTTCTGTGCACCAGAGACTCTCCTAGACGCTGGGGAATCAGCCAAGAATAAGACAGATAAGGCTCTGCTCCCAGGGAACTTACAGTCTAATTGGGGAAGACAGACCATAAACAAGTAGGTAAATGAGCTAATTTTAGTGATCCAACTGCTGTGAAGAAAATTAGAACATAGTAATATAATAGAGAGTCATTGGGGTGACTGCTTTAGAGTAGGGTTAATCTCATGAGTTGTTAGGGAAATT